CCCCAAGCGCCCAAGACGACTTCCGAATAGGGTTCAGAAGCCCCTGGAGGACATAGAACTGCATAGAAATCAGAACCAGCTTCTCATCCGAGGGGTCGCTGGCGCGCTCGACGGCGAGCTGACGCAGCTTGGTACGGACCGAGCGCAAGCGTCGCAACCATCGACCCAAGGTCCGCCACGCCACCTCCGATCTCGGCTGAGGTGGAGCTGGTTTCTGCAGCGGCTTCCACGAATAAGAAGGAGGACCAACGCGCCCGCAATGCTTGAGCCGTTCCGAGGCCGCCATAATATCAGTTCGATCGCAAAGCTCGGCCTCAATACCTGAAAGAGTGGCGTCCCAGCAAGTAACAAGATCATCTTCAGACGTTGCCTTGGCAATTAGAAACTGGATCTGGGCCCGCTCCTCGACAGGGGGGAACCTAGCGCAACCGACCTTCGGAACTACATCGAACATCCGCGGCTCCACTGGGACACGGCGGCACATGCTATGCTCAGCCAGACCCAGCGCCAGCAAGACGGGGGGAGGACGAGGAGGAGGGGGAGGAGGAGGAGGAGGAGGAGGAGGAGGAGGAGGAGGAGGAGGAGGAGGGGGAGGGGGAGGAGGAGAAGGAGGAGGAGGAGTAGTAGTAGTAGGAGGAGGAGGAGGAGGAGGGATCGATCGGTCGAGCGAGCGTTTGGGCCGAGTTCGAGGTGAAACCTACTGGAGCAACGCTGTGAGCCCTCGGAACTGCTCAGCCTGGCTGTGGCCACTTAAGACTGGAGGTCGCTCGCGCTACGCGGCGCTCTGGCCCTGCCTGCGCTGGCTCTCCCCACGCAGGGGCACGCGGGCAGTGGGCAGGGTGGCGCCCGCTCTTCGCAGATGCCTACCAGTCAGCTGCCTCCCACTCTGTGTCGGCATCCTCCTCGTCGCTCTCAATGTTGTTCCGTTCCTCTCCTTAATTGGCGTGTCCATGCAGGAGGGCGCCGTGCACTGTGACCATCCCCCCAATTTTACTCGTGCCAACCATCTCCAAGACGCCGTAGCTGGTCCACGCGGTGACGGCCTGCTGGATCCATTCGTGGAACCCGGCGTGCAACCGCGAGGCCGGGACCACGTAGCCCTCCTCGAGACGCCGTTCCACGACGTCGGCAACTAGTTCGATGAAAGAAGACGGCATCTCGTGTGCCGCGTTGTCTTCGCGCCCCCGCGTGCCCACCGTCGGGTCCTGGTCGTCGAAGCTCTTTTGCTCCGCGTGTTTCGTGTGGTCCTGTGCGCGCAGCGTGTCGTCCTGTCCCGCGTAGCTCCGCTTTAGCTCGTGCATCGCGTCGTCCTTGTTGCTCAGCCCCGTCCAGCTCTGCGAAGCTCTGCTGCTCCTCGTGCGTCGCGGCGTCCTTGGTGCTCAGCGCCTCCTGGGTCGCGGTGTCCTTGTCCTGCGTCTCGTCCAGGTCGGTCTCGCGCTGCTGCTCGTTCGTCTCGGAGCTCCCGTCGTCCAGCGGTGTGCCCTGGTTGCCCAGCGCCTTTTCCTGGTCTTCGAAGCCGCGCTGCTCCTCGTGCGTCGCGGTGTCCTCTGTGCCCAGCGTCTCGTCCTGGTCCGAGTAGATCTGATTGTCTCGTGCGTCGTGTCGTCCGCGGTGCCCTGCGCGTCCGTCTCTAGGAAACTCAGCTGCTCCTCGTGCGTCGCGGTGCCCTCTGCGCCCAGCGTCTCGTCCTGGTTTGCGTAGCTCTGCTTCCTCTCGTGCGTCGCGTCGCCCGTGGTGCTCAGCGCGTCCGTCTCTAGGAAGCTTTGCCGCTCCGTGTCCTTCGCGACGCTCTTGGTGCTCAGCGCCTTTCCTGGTATGCGAAGCTCTGCTGCTCCTTGTGCGTCGCGGTGGTCTTGGTGCCTAGCGTCTCGTTCTTGCTCATGAAGCTCGGCTGCTTCTCGGGCGCCGCGTGCTCGTGGTAGTGGTACAGTTCGTACTCCTTCTCCGCCTCGTACGCCACGAAGGTGAGGAAGTCCAGCTGCGTCTGCCTAGTGACTAGTGCAATGCAGGAGTAGTCGTCGTCTAGCGCGTTGTTGCGAGCGCGAACTCCACTTCGTTGCATGGCGCCTCGACGGTCCCGCGGGCGCACTGTGCATGGTGATCGGATCGACATGCAAAGCGGGAAGGGCCGCGAGAGAGGCTGTCCACGTTGTTGCCTTGCCCATGCGGGCCGCCGCCTCCATGATTGTATCACCACAAACTGTGTAATGACTGTACGGGGTTCGTTTGCTGCCCTGACATGTCTTGGGCCCAGATGGCAGCTGAGGAGGAGGGAGGAGAAGGAGGAGGAGGAGGAGGAGGAGGATGAGGAGGAGAAGGAGGAGGTGCAGAAGGAGGAGGAGGAGCTCGAGCTCCAGCTCGGACTCGGGTTCACTATCGTTTTTGTTTTCGGGCTCGGCGTCGGGCTTGGCCGTGCTCGGGCTTGGGCTGGACCAGAAAGAGCAAGAGGGAGGAAGGACTGGAAAGGACGGGTGGAGGGCAGAGCGGGAAATAGAGAGGAGAGAACCGGAGCGGGCGAGTGGGCGAAAGACGCGCAAACAACCCAGCCCTGCGCACTGTGCGATCCCCGATGGGGTTCACCGGGACTCTTGTTGTCGGCGGCCACCTGGATCCAAGCAGCGGTAGGGCGACGGTGGGATGACACGACGCAGGGACAGAAGAGACGAAGAGGCCAAAAGGACGGAAGCATAGAGAGGAGAGGGGACAGAAAGCGCGCGGCGGGAGGGCCCTCAGAGGCTCACTGGGAACAGACGGCGAGCTAGCGCGCCGGAGTCGCCCCGCGCTTGCGCCGCCCAGGGATGCTGGGGCAGAGCGAGCCAGGGGGGGATGCGAGGCACTCCTCCTCCTCCTCCTCCCGAGCGCACTGCTGGGCTTGACTCCGCGTGTGCGGCCGATAGCCCATATGCTAAGACGCCAGGGCGGGGACAAATCCGGCTGAAGATACATCGAGAATCTCTGAGACCCAGCGGCACCGGAAGATGTATCGGGCGCCGCGGCCTTCTCAGTCTGGAAGAGTGTGGCTACGGGACAGGCAGGGTTGGCCAAGATTCTTTTTTTTTTGAGCCTGCCACCTCCTATACGATACTGCCATCAAACCGATGGTACGATGAGAAAATTGGAGCTGGCTTGAGAAGGCTCAATCAAGCCCGCGGAGAGACCATCGGGCTGGGAGCATGCGGGGCCTCTCCCCTGAGCTCTATTGGCCCACCAAGGGATGGCCAGGGCCCATGGAATCCCACCCTGGCTTCTATCTAGTATGCCGCAGTTGGGCCCATGCTAGGTTGGCCAAGGATGGCGGCAACCACAGCGAACAAGTTACATATTGAGATAAGAGTCGCAGCGCCAGTCGGCCAGTCTGCGAGGCATTGCTTGCGGAAGCTGCCACGATCAATACAGCGCTTTGCAGCAACGCAGCTCACATATACTGGCTACAAGATTCTCAATCGAGCATTCGCCTCGTTGGGGCGCGTTCGAATGCTTGCTGCTGCCTTGCATGCTTTAAGTAGTTTTCTAGGGCCGCCCATTCCCCCGCCCCCTCGCAGCGCGTAGGGCTCGAACATCCCCCCAAGTTTTGCCGCGAGACGCCCCGTGTCGCCCTCCAGGCAGCCCCAGGCCAGCTGGAACAAACGGGCACTCAAGACTCGGACTCAAGACGTGCGCAAGTTGAGACGAAGTGCTGCACCAGCGCGGGTCTTGAACTCAAAATCCTGCTGCACTGCTGCGTTGGCATGCAGCCGGCATTGGCCGCAGGCAGCTGGATTATCACTACACCTACACTCGGGAATGTTTGCTCAGCGTGTCTACTACTACTACTACTACTACTACTACTACTACTACTACTACTACTACTACTACTACTACTACTACTACTACTATTACTACTACTACTACTACTACTACTACTACTACTACTACTACTACTACTACTACTACTACTACTACTACGACTACTACTACTACACTACTACTACTACTACTACTAACTACTACTACTACTACTACTCTCTACTACTACTACTACTACTACTACTACTACTACTACTACGATTACTACTACTACTACTACTACTACTACTACTACTACTACTACTACACTACTACTACTACTACTACTACTACTACTACTACTACTACTACTACTACTACTAACTACTACTACTACTACTACTACTACTACTACTACTACTACTACTACTACTACTACTACTACTACTACTACTACTACTACTACTACTACTACTACTACTAACTACTACTACTACTACTACTACTACTACTACTACTACTACTACTACTACTACTACTACTACTACTACTACTACTACTACTACTACTACTACTACTCTACTACTCCTGCTCCTTGTGCTCCTCATCGTCCTCCTCTGGGCAAGGCCGACAGCTATCGCAGCCTCTACAGCGATGCAACCAAAATGCCAAGTGTTATTGGCCGTGCCGGCTACTGACTTGCAACGACACCGCAATGGCAACAAAAAAACACAAGTAGTGAAACACCGAAATACTGGCAGTGCCTAGCGGGCGCTCACCGGCGCGCTGTCCGCTACGAAAAACACTGCCTGCACCAGCAGCCATGATGCAACAAAATAGGACACAAGTCTTGCGCCACAATACAATAAAAATGGCGAACGCATTTCAGGAACCTGCTGGCCCGCCAGTGGTGCCACCAAGTTGCGAGGCACCAAGCTGTGCTCCTGAGTTCCTGACTTGTTATACGATGTCATGTTTTTATACATATGATCAGTCTTCAGCGTGTTACCAGGGTTAGGGGTCCTTTAGTCCCGGATCAAAGATTGACTCCGCCAGGCCCGGCTGGTTACGCGGAGCCAGCAACAAAAGGTTCCCCCCCCTCTGCGAGATGGGGGACAGGTCCTGAAACTCGGGCAGCAGAGAGGCGGACCGCCCTCGTCACGCAGTCCTACCGCACGCTCGCCGCGAATAAGTCTGCCCTCCGCTGGTCATGGAGCGCACCTCATCCTGGGGCCTCACAGCACGAAGATCCGCCTGCCGGCGTGCGCTGCGGGGCGCGCGCCGTCGAGCGACGGGGCGCCCACGGAGACCACGGAGCGGCTGCCGCCCACGGAGACCACGGAGCGGTCCTCGTCCGCGGGGTGCCCGAGGTCCACGGACACAATGGAGCACTGGTCGTCCAGGGAGCCGCTGTCGTCGACGAACCCCTCCGAGTCGTCGCAGTCGGGCGCCGCCGCCGAGAAGAGCCGGCCCAGCTGAGGCACCACCATCCTCTTGGAGGCTTGCACGAACGGCATCTCATCCGGGTCCTCGACCAGCGCGCGCTGCGAAGGCTGCCTGGCGGCGCCGCCCGGGCCCGCCGCGGCCTCGCCGGCGTCGGCCACCTGCTGGGCCTTGCCGCGCTTCTTCGGGCGCGGCGTGGGCGAGCGCGGCTTGGGCGAGCGCTGGCGTGGGCGGGGGCCCACGCCAGCGGGCGGCCTCGCAGCCGCGGCCTGTGCTCCAGCGCTGGCCGAGCCCGCGTTCGCCGAGCTGGGGTCGCCCTCGGGCGGCTTGTCGCCCTCGAAGCGGAAGGAGAGCTTCTCGGACCTGGCGCTGGCCGCCGAACCGGCGGCGCCCAACGGGCCCACCGGGATCCCCGGGACCTCCGCGTCCCTGACATGATCCCCCGCTTGCCGACGATGGGAGCGCCAGCCTAGCAACAGAAGCAAAGACCCGCACCCGATAAAAACCACACCTGAAATGACGATGCCGACAATAATCGAATTGGCCTCGACCTCAAGACCAGCGTCGATTCTATCCTCTGCCTCTGGCAAGGTGACGCTCGGCACGTTGATGGCGATTGCCGTGATTCCCGTCACGGCGACCTCGTACACTCCGTCCCCGACCTCCACGTCGATGTTCGCTTGCAACAAAGACGTGAAAGAGCTGATATCCACACTGTCCAAGGACGCCTGCATGGCGGCAAGATCCGGGATGTCGGCCGGAGCATCCGCTGGCACAGATACGCTGTACTCCACCACAAGGCTGCCGCTGGAGAGCCCGCGCGTAGGGGCCCGGAGCCTTCGAGACTCCGCAAACCAGGTGCTGACGTAACTCGCGGACGTGCCCACCACCTGAGCGATCGTAGCGCCAAGTGAGTTCAACACCTTCAATGCATCTGGGCCGTTCCGGACCGCCTCCGGATCCACGAACAGCAAGCCGATCGACCCAATTATTTGAGGGGGCGCCCGAATGCTCGCAGTGCTCACAGTGGTCGGAGTGTTGCTGCTTTCGGTAGTACTCATGGTGGTCGAAGTGGTTCTGCTTCTCGTGGTCCAAGTCGAAGACCCAGAACTGACACTGCTGCTCTGTGTCGTGCTGGTCTCGGATGCACTCGTCAAGGTGCTGCTGCTTGTGGTGTTGGTCTCGGAAACACTCGTCAGGGTGCTGCTCGAACCTGTGGTACTCGACTCAGTCGTGCTGGTCAACGTGGTACTGCTTGACTCGGTGGTGCTCGAATCTGTGGTACTCGACTCAGTCGTGCTGGTCAGAGTGGACTGCTTGAACTCTGTGGTTGCTCGAACCGGTGACTTCGACTCAGTCGTGCTGGTCAACGTGGTACTGCTTGACTCGTGTTGGCTCGAACCTGTGGTACCTCGACTCACCCGTGCTGGTCAAGTGGTACTGCTCGACTCTTTTCGTGCTCGAACCTGTGCGCTCGACTCAGTCGTCGCTGGTCCGAACAACGTGGTACTGCTTGACTCTGTGGTGCTCGAACCTGTGGTACTCGACTCCGTCGTGCTGGTCAACGTGGTACTGCTTGACTCTGTGGTGCTCGAACCTGTGGTACTCGACTCAGTCGTGCTGGTCAACGTGGTACTGCTTGACTCTGCGGTGCTCGAAACTGTGGTACTCGACTCAGTCGTGCTGGTCAACGTGGTACTGCTTGACTCTGCGGTGCTCGAACCTGTGGTACTCGACTCAGTCGTGCTGGTCAAAGTGGTACTGCTTGACTCTGTAGTGCTCGAACCTGTGGTGCTCGACTCAGTCGTGCTGGTCAACGTGGTACTGCTTGACTCTGTGGTGCTCGAACCTGTGGTACTCGACTCAGTCGTGCTGGTCAAAGTGGTACTGCTTAACTCGGTGGTGCTCGAACCTGTGGTACTCGACTCAGTCGTGCTGGTCAACGTGTTACTGCTTGACTCTGTGGTGCTCGAACCTGTGGTACTCGACTCAGTCGTGCTGGTCAACGTGGTAGTGCTTGACTCGGTGGTGCTCGAACCTGTGGTACTCGACTCAGTGTGCTGTCAACGTGGTACTGCTTGGACTCTGCGGTGCTCGAATCTGTGGTACTCGACTCAGCTCGTGCTGGCCACGTTGTATGCTTGACTCTGTGGTGCTTCGAACTGTGGTACTCGATCTGTCGTGCTGGGTCAACGTTGTACTGCTAGATCTGCGGTGCTCCGAACTGTGGTACTCGACTCAGTCGTGCGGTCAACGTGGTACTGCATGCCTCTGTGGTGCTCGAACCTTTGGTGCTCGACTCAGTCGTGCTGGTCAACATGGTACTGCTTGACTCTGTGGTGCTCGAACCTGTGGTAATCAACTCAGTCGTGCTGGTCAACGTGATATGCTTGACACTGTGGTGCTCGAACCAGTGGTACTCGACATAGTCGTGCTGGTCCACGTGGTAGTGCTTGACTCTGTGGTGCTCGAACCTGCGGTATTCGACTCAGTCGTGTTGGTCTACGTGGTGGTGCTTGACTCTGTGGTGCACGAACCTGTGGTGCTCGACTCAGTCGCGCTGGTCAACGTGGTACTGCTTGACTCTGTGGTGCACGAACATGTGGTACTCGGCTCAGTCGTGCTGGTCAACGTGTTAATGCTTGACTCTGCGGTGCTCGAACCTGCGGTACTCGACTCTGTCGCGCTGGTCAAGTAGTACTGCTTGTCTCTGTGGTGCTCGACCCTGTGGTACTCGACTCGGTCATGCTGGTCAAAGTGGTACTGCAAGCTCTGTGGTGCTCGAACCTGTGGTACTCGACTCAGTCGTGCTGGTCACCGTGGTAGTGCCTGACTCTGTGGTGCTCGAACCTGTGGTACTCGGCTTTCAGTCGTGCGGGTCAACGTGGTACTGCTTGACTCGGTGGTGCTCGACCTATGGTACTCGACTCAGTCGTGCTGGTCAAAGTGGTACTGCTTGCTCTGTAGTGCCTCGACCCTGTTGTACTCGACTCAGTCGTGCTGGTCAGCGTGGTACTGCTTGACTCGGTGCTGCTCGAACCTGTGGTACTCGACTCAGTCGTGCTGGTCAGCGTGGTACTGCTTGACTCGGTGCTGCTCGAACCTGTGGTACTCGACTCAGTCGTGCTGGTCAACGTGGTACTGCTTGACTCTGTGGTGCTCGAACCTGTGGTACTCGACTCAGTCGTGCTGGTCAACGTGGTACTGCTTGACTCTGCGGTGCTCGAACCTGTGGTACTCGACTCAGTCGTGCTGGTCAAAGTTGTACTGCTTGACTCTGCGGTGCTCGAACCTCCCCCTGCGCCGCCGACGGGCGCGGCGCCCCGGCCCTCCGGGTGCTCCGACCGGCCCGGCACGGCCGACGAGCCAGCGGCGGCGCGGCCCCGCGCCTCGCCCCGCCGCGCCGCCTCGGGCGCGGCGGCGGCACTGTGCGGCTGCCACGCGGCCCCGAGCAGGTCCGCAGCAGGGGAAGCCGCCTCACCTGCCTCCGCACCGACAGTGGGCGACCCCTCGGCTGGCATAGCGGCGGGGAGTGCCGCCGCCGCCACCTCCACGTCCCACGCCTTGTAAGTCCTCCTCGTCGTGGTGGCCGTCCTGCTTGGCGTGGTGTGGCTGGGGCCTGCCGGCCCGTGGTGCGCAGTCTTCTGGAAGCGCCCGACAGCATGGTCAGCGTCAAGGTGGCAGATGCCCTGCCAGATCACGTATGCCGCGGCCACGTCCGCATGCAGAAGCAGGCCGCTGCCAGCGCCGAAGACGCAGCCGCTGCGGTCCGGGCCCAGGGCGCCCAGGGCAACGGCCTCCCTGCGCCTGCCCGCAGGCAGGGCGCCGCGGCCAGCTGACAGGAGGCAGTCGACCCGCGACGGGACAACATCGAAGACGTGGCCCTGGCAGGAGGACGGGTAGGCGATCAGCGTGTCGTTGCTCAGCGCGAGGCTGGTGTCCGTCGCCGTGCACTCGAAGCACCCAGGGCACTCCGCAGGACTCTGGCAGGCCGCGACGGTGCCCCTCGGGCAGCGCTGGTGGTCGCAAGGGTCCAGATCAGCAGGAGAAGCGCCGAACTGGCGCCAGCACGCATAGACGACAAGAGAGAGGCATGCTAGCACCCTGGCGGCGGCGCTCATGAAGCGCACCCCTGGCCAGGGCGTCCGCGGCCGTCTTGCGGGCGCGGTTCAAGCCATGGTGGGCTGCGCTTGAGCCAAAATGGCTACGGAACAGCAGTTTAGGTAGAAATGAACATTCGCGAAGTAAAAGCCGCCTCAACCGCCAGGTCGCAATGATTGGCGGGTAGTGGCAAAGAGATTTATTCCCAACCCTCCTATGGTTGGGTACTCGTTTTGAATAGAG